AAGAGAGACTGTCCGAAGCTCAAGGAGAAGGAGAATGGCAAGAAAAAGAGCCCGAAGGCCAATGAGGTGAATATTGCGAAAGACGATGATTCCGATGATTCGAGTTTTTCTCTTTTGATTACTCCGGAGGTGAACCATTTGGATGCATCGGAGTGGATGCTTGATTCTGGCGCTACTTATCATGTGACTCCTAGGCGAGATTGGTTTTCATCATTTGAGAGACTCGATGGGGGTGTTGTTGTCATGGGAAATGATCAATCCTGTGGCGTTTATGGGATAGGTACTGTGAGGATTCGGATGCACGATGGAGTAGTCCGTGAGTTGAAGGAGGTGAGATTCGTTCCTCAACTTAAGAAGAATCTTATCTCAGTTGGGACTTTGGAGGCGAGGGATTCAGGGTGACCTTTGAGGATGCTGTAGCGAAGGTTACTAAGAGATATTTGGTGGTGATGAAGGGAGTCCGCAGTCATAATTTATACTATCTGAAGGGGAGCACCGAGATTGGCCATGTTTCTTCGGCTATTTCAGAGGCGGACATGAGCAGACTTTGGCATTACAGGTTAGGGCACACAGGAGAGAAGTCACTGCAGGCTTTGTGCAAGCAGGAACTATTGAAGGGAGCCAAGAGTGGAAAGATTGAGTTCTGTGAGCACTGTGTTCTTGGCAAGAAGACGAAGGTGAAGTTCGGGACGGCCATTCATAGGACGAAGGGCATCTTGGACTACGTGCACACAGATGTTTGGGGTCCCACCAAGACGGCATCACTTGGTGGTCGACATTGGTTCGTCACATTTGTTGATGACTATTCTAGGCGTTGTTGGGTGTACACCATGAAGCATAAGAGTGAATTCCTAGATTTGTTTGTGGAGTGGAAGAAGAGATTGGAACTGCAGTCTGGGAAAAAGATCAAGACGTTGCGATCCGACAACGGCGGCGAGTATACTTCGGACCCCTTTCAGCAGCTATGTCGAGAAGAGGGCATAGAGAGGCACTTCACAGTTAGTCATACATCGTAGCAGAATGGGGTGGCAGAGAGGTTAAATCGGTCTTTGCTGGAGAAGATTTGATGTTTATTGGCGCATAGTGGTTTGGAGAAGATCTTTTGGGCTGAGGCACTTTCTTATGCGAGCCACCTCATTAATAGGCTGCCTTCATCTGCGATTGAGGGGAAGACCCCTATGGAGATGTGGTCGGGAGAGACAGCACATGACTATGACCAGCTTAAGGTATTTGGTTGCCCTGCATATTATCATGTTAGAACTGATAAGTTGGAACCTCGAGCTAGGAAGGCCATATTTGTAGGATTCAAGCGTGATGTCAAGGGATACAAGCTTTGGGATCCAGTTGATAGGAAGATTGTGCTGAGTAGGGACGTCACATTCGATGAGGCTTCTATCTTGAAGCTTCCCAGCTCTCATCAGGTGGAGAGCGACTCGACAGAGGAGATTTCGCAGGTGGTGGAGATTGATGCAGCTCCACAAAGTCCAGATAGTGCAGTATCCATTAGAGTACCGACTGAGGTGATGCCAGGCGAGCATGACGGTGATGCGGAGGATACGGGTACTCATGAGCAGGATCAGGGACCGACGACTCAGGTTCAGGATTCTATTACAGCACGGAGACAGAGGAGAGACATACGGGTGCCAGCACGGTATGCCGACACAGTTGCATATGCACTTCCGGTGGAGAGTATCGATGAGATGGTGCCTACTACATTCAGAGAGGCCGAGCAGAGTTCGGAGGCTGATTCGTGGCAGGTGGCTATGCAGGAGGAGATGGAGTCTCTTCACAAGAACGATACATGGGAGCTTGTTGAGCTTCCAAAGGGGCGGAAGGCGATTGGGTGCAAGTGGGTGTACACGAAGAAGGAGGGCATTGAGGGCACTCCAGTGAGGTTCAAGGCTAGGTTGGTTGCGAAGGGCTATGCACAGGAGGAAGGTATTGACTACAATGATGTTTTCTCTCCGGTGGTGAAGCATTCGTCAATTCGGATTTTGCTAGCTTTGGTGGCACAGTATGGTTTGGAGTTAGATCAGTTGGATGTGAAGACAACATTTCTTCATGGTGATCTTGATGAAGAAATATATATGACTCAGCCATTGGGATTCCGAGCTGCAGGGAAAGATAAGTTGGTTTGCAGGTTAAAGAAATCGCTATACGGTTTGAAGCAGTCTCCTCGACAGTGGTATAGGCGATTCGATGGTTTTATTCTTGGTCATTCGTACACTCGGAGCCAGTTTGATCATTGCGTGTATTTTCGTAAGTTGAGAGGAGGTGCATACATTTATTTGTTGCTTTATGTCGATGACATGTTGGTTGCCTCTAGTTTCAGGTCAGCTATAGATGAGTTGAAAGTTCAGCTTTCGAATGAGTTTGAGATGAAGGACTTGGGCGAGGCGAAGCGCATTTTAGGGATGGAGATCGACAGAGACAAGAAGAAGGGCAGGATTTGTTTGACACAGGTGGCTTATTTGAAAAAAGGTTCTATAACGATTCCATGTTAGCATGGATACGAAGCCAGTTGATGTACCTTTGGTAGCCCATTTGAAGCTTTCAGCTGGCCTTTCACCGAAGTCAGTTGAAGACCGTGAGTTGATGACGAAGACTCCATATGCGAGCGCAGTTGGGAGCTTGATGTACGCGATGTTATGTACGAGGTTGGATTTGTCACAGGAGGTGAGCATGGTGTCGAGATACATGCACGATCCAGGAGTGGGTCATTGGGATGCCGTGGATGGATTTTGAGGTACATTCTAGGTACGCTCAATGTTGGTTTGGTTTATGAGCGGGACACTACAGGTGGGCAGCTATGCATTGGCTATGTTGATTCGGATTATGCCGGGGTTCCGAGTAACAAGTTTGATCATTGTCGAAACTTGTTGCACATTCGTGATTGTTGAGGCCGTTGACGGTCATTTGGAGGAACTACGGGCGGCTTGATCCCTTGGGAGAGGGGGTACGTAGGCAACCACATTGGTGCAGCCGAGTTTAGAGAGACGACACATTGGTGCTCATGTTGGTGTCGGCTCAGTGTTGGGAACACTTCGCCGAGGTGGAGAATTGTGAAAACGGCGAAGGAATTGTGAAAAATATGAAGAATAATCCAAAACAGACTCCACCACACCCTGGTGTGTTGTCTGCCATGGGTGTGGTAGAATCTGTCCTGCACCACACCCTCTGCCACACCCACGGTGCAGGGTGTGACAGAATCTGTCCTGCACCACACCCTCTGCCACACTCATGGTGCAGGGTGTGGCAGACTCGTTTTTAGAATCCTCCTTTGTATGAGAATCCTCCTTTGTTTGGGATTGTGTTTTATTATAAATAGGACCACGTTTTTTAGGGTTTCTCAAGGAGAGAAAAGGAGAGAATTAGCATTGTTTTGAGCACTTTGAGAGGGAGATATTGTGAGGGAGTTGAGAACTTTGGTTAGGGTTATATTTGAGTGATTTTGTGAGTTGTAACCCGTTATATTTCTCCTCCATATAGTAAAATCTCTCCATCCTCTCCCCGTGGACGTAGGCAATTGCCGACCCACGTATATCTCTGTGTTTGGTTTGATTTGTCGTAATTGGCTTGGTTTGTGCAAGTGTGTGGCTTTCTTCTTCCGTGATCTCAAGTTCGTTGTGTGTGCGTACAACGCTTCCGCATAGGCGCGCGACAGTAAGTGTATAAGCAAAATATACAATTATTTTATGAGTTTTATTTTATCATCATCCATTTGATAATAATTTTCTTTCGGGTTTTATCTTATAGGTACAAGAGCTCGAAGAGCTTTCTACTATGGCGCATGATGCATTGCGAACGACTACCGAGCCAGAGCCGAGGAACACGTCCCTTTGCATGATAAAAAAGATTCGGTCCGCTATTCAGAGGACGCGTAATGCAAGACGTGATGGACGTGAGGAGCGACCAATTGAGTACGGGCGTCGATGGTTCCTAGAACACACTTGGGCAGGCTCAAGTCATGCACATAATGAAGCTGACGGCTCTCAGCAGACTCAAGCCGAATGTTCACACCCGGTTCGAGTCGACGAGGATGTCATGCACTCCCAACTTCACACACAACCGGACGATGATCTCATCCGAGCTCACATCGAAGGTGAACGGGGAAGGGGGAGAGGAAGAAGAGGGAGAGGGAGAGGGAGAGGGAGAGGGAGTTGTAAATATTTGTTAAGTTTCGATATACTTGATAGGATTTTTTTGCGTTTGAAACTAAATATTATGTATCTGATTGAGTATTGATTATTAGTATGTGAATTGCATGATATGTATCCGATTGAATATGGATTTTTAGTAAGTGAAATGAATGTTTGTGATTATTGATTGATCAAATGTGTGTTATTAAGTGAAATGAATGTTTGCGATTATTGATTGATCAAATGTGTGTTATTTGTGATTGTGATTGCATTGTAGATTGATAAATGTGTACCACTAGTTGGTGGATTGATATGTATTAACAGGAGTTCGATTTTCCAGCTGAATGTGGGGAGGAAGAGCTCTGCAAAATGGTCGGGGTTGGGAACCCCGACCATTTCGAAAGGACTTTCAAATTGGTTAGGGTTCCCAATCCCGACCAATTAGACAGTATGCTAAATTAGTCGGGGTTTCCAACCCCGACTAATTTAGCTTGTATATTATCAGGGGCGTGCAAAATAGTCGGGGTTGGCAACCCCGACTATTTAGTAGAGAGATTAAAAAACCGACCCATTTCATGGCCACGGTGCTGATGTGACCACGAAATGGGTCGGTTCCTAGAAATACAATGAGAGTGGGTCGGTTTTTAAAAATAAAAAGCGGAATGAGTTTAAATGGAAATTTTCTTCCTTAAGAGAACCATCAAGCACCCTCATTCTGTGTACAACTGCAACTAAATAGTTTAGAGCATAAAATATAGTTGTAACTACAAAATCGAGTAGCAAAATCACTAATCAAGGAAGCATTTTGATTTATACTGCAATTGAAACAACATGTATTTCCAACCACCAAAAACCAAACGCTAATATGTAACAAATAATTTACTCAGCAAAAGTACCCTTGGATGCTGTCGTACATAGTTTAGAGTCAAAAAATGCGGTCTTGACTACAAAGTATAACAGTAAAAACACTAACCAAACGTTGTTTTAATTCATATATTGCAAAGTGAGCAACAAATGACTCCAATAGTGAGAAAGTCCAAAACTCATCACCCACAAAATTAAGTTTGATGGTCAACAAACACCAAATTATGAATTAACGGCTAAAATATTCTCCTCACTACCTCCTATAATCAACCCAAAATGCTCAATCTTACCCCTAATGTCATCATCAATAATCTCAGGAACTTGTTCACAATACTTCAACACATATCTCTTCAGAAACTCCTTATCCCCCATCATCAGCTGCCTAGCTCCAATCCTCCCCTCATAAAACCCCTTCTCCTCCAAAACCCTGAAAACCCGAGACCTAGGCAAAACCCTCTTCTCGTAACTAAACGAGAGCACCACCGGACTCCTCGACACGTACTCTGGCGACCACCCAAACCTCTCCCTGAAGAACTCCATGTTCTTCTTGATCTTCTCGATTGAAGCAGTCATGCAGTAAGGATGCTTCGAGAACGCAACAATCACTTGATCCTCCGTCCACCCGAGCCCCTTGAAGTTTTCAACTTTTCTCACCCATGCTCTCTCAGGCAATTTACCAAGCACCACGAGGGCGTGTGCAAATAATGGGCTCTTCGGGTTGATCCCAACCCGTTTGACCATTTCGAAAATCTCATCGAACCGATGGTGGTGGTCCATAAGAGATTTTGATTGGGTCGTAAGGAGTTTGAGAATGACATTGGTTGGAACCCCAAAATCTTCTAGGATTTTGAGTTTGGGGAAAACGGTCCGATCGAGGTTGCAGACGAGGAGAGTGGCAGAGCATTTTATAGCAGATATAGCATTGGATTCGGATTTGAGTAGGGTTTTGAGGAGGTTGAAGTTGATGATGAGGCGGCGATCAAGGCTGAACTGTAAGAGTTTGGGGACGGAGCAGATGAGAGGGGGGAGGGCGGGGCCTGAGAAGCGCATGGAGCGCAAAAGAAGTCTGAGTTTGCGGTTTAGGGTCTGCTGGGGCTTCGGTCGGGCCCGAAGAGCAGCGACGACCGTTGGGGTCGGTGCGCGGCGCAAACGACTTGGCAGATATCAGTGGCGGCGCGAAGTGGCTAGGATTTAAGGAGTGGAGGAGCGACGGTACCCACATGAGACGCCCGCTTTTTTGCGCTGTTCTTGAGGTTAAGCTTTTGGGAGGTGGAGATGGCGGTCGAGGGGGAGAGAAAGCACGAGGTTTTGAGGAAATGGATGGTGAGGGAGCATGATGGGTTAGTGTCGGTCGAAATCGAGGAAGAAGATGGTGACGTTGGTAACGGTTTGGGGCTTTTCTTAGAGTGGAGGAATAGAAAGCGGAGCATTTTGATTCTCTGGGGGTTTTTTTCGAACAGTTGGTGGACGAGTTGGAGACGGGAATTTGCGCGGGCGGACCAACTCAGTGTATTAGGTTTTGAATTTTGGAGCGGGTTGTTTTGGTATTTATAGAGAAAGT